TTGACACCTAAGTATATTAAATCCCTATTAGAATAAAGGGCTTGCACCCTTTATTCTAATAGGGAACACGGATAAAAGCTATCTATGCATAAATCTAACAAATCTGAAATAAATTCTTTCGTTCTGAACTATTTTTTTTTGTTACCAAAATCAACCATCATGCTCTGGTGTTTAGTCCCTGATGATTTCTTGGCGGTCCAACTCGCATCGAAATCTCCTGGTTGGGCACTGAACTAAGACTATGAAATTTTAGCTTGTTCCTGCCATGGAAGAGAGTGGGTTAGGTTCCAATACAGGCGGATTACTTAAGGATTAGTACTAAAACATTGATTAAATATATTTCCGCTTCAAGTACTTTTTAAATTTAAAGTGGTCAATTTGTTTGGTATTTTCTCCTTGCATACATTACAAATAGCTTTCCCGATATAATTTTCTTTTTAGGTATGAAGCCATAACTCACTGTTAATACATCCAAACATTTTGAATTTTGTACCTACAGTCCTCTATACACTTAAATAATCATAAATTAAAATAAAAAAAAACACTAAACATTAGTAAAATTCTGATAATATTTATGCAAAATATTCTCTAACCTTGCGCGCAATTATTCACAAACAGTCAAACAAAAATAAAGAAAGCGTACTTAGACATGTCCTTCATAAAATCAAACAAACATTTCGACTCTCTGACATTGCTGTGAATAATGCATGGCTTTTTTTATGTGAGGAAGTGGCAAACGAACTGGTGGTTCACCTGATGTTAAGTGATAACCGCCTGCCCATGGACATTTGCAACACCCGTAGGGTTACAGATGCGTTGCCACCTCTTAATAATGTGGGCCCCGGCTACCTCACTCACCAGACGAAACGCAGAAGTGCAACACTTCGACTTTACGCCCGTCTTCTGTGAGGTCATGGTACTAACCCGGACGGACCTGCCCCTTCGCAACAAAGAACACTGTTCCGTAGCCCTACCACCGTTAAATATATATGGCTGGCTGATGTATAGAAGAGACAATAAAAGGAAAGTACAGAAAATAAAAACGCTGAAGCCTCTTAGGCTCTACATATACAAAGCCTTAACCAAGAAGGGGAATAACTATGTCAAATATTTGAGAAATGAAATGTATAAAATAAAGGAGCCTAATCGTGCTCGTCCAATAGATGATATCAGTTACGATACAATTGTTAATTTTCCACAACATAGAATCGAACATGGGAGATCTGAGATACTGCTAAGAAGGCTAACTACTGTATACTTCTGAAATGTGAAGTGAAGCTTTGTTTTGTACAAGGAAGTAACGGTTATTATAATTATAATATTATATTAATATTAAAAATAATTAAAATATTCCAATAAAGGTTACTTTTGAAAATGTTATTGTTTCGATTTAAACTATCTTCCAATCAATCAAGTTTTTGTTAAGTATACTTAACATACATTTTTCAAGAAAGTTTACGATCGGCTTAGGCGATTTTTTTTTACATTTTTTCTAAAGCCTATAGAGTGTCAAAACCTTAATAATTGTTTTTTTATTTTTTATTTTAATAACTTTGCCAAATTATGGGTTAAGTATGTTAATCAATCACCTAGTACCCATAATACAAGCTCTGCTTACTTTGGGACTAGATAACGCTGTGTAAAAATATGTCCCGAAATATTTATTTATTTATTTAAGCATCAATATTTTCATTTACTTAACAAAAGTTATGTTTCGAACCAATGATTTATCTTTCTAATTTAAAAACAATGACAAGTAAAAATTAATATTGCATAGCGAAATATAAACGCCTAAAATTTTTGAACTACGTCGCCTAGCAAGTCAACAATCCGCGTTGTTTCGCGGTGTTTCTAAGTTCACATCTAAGCTACGCCACGCCCGGTCCGATGTAACAGCCAATGGCGCCGGTGGGCGGGGCGCGCTTTGAGGAAATCTAAGCTCGAACAATCTTCGGATCACTCGAGACAACAAAAAAATCGACTACAACAAACTTCTAAACATCTTCCTGTTCTTCAACACAACCGCGGTGCAAATTAACTAGCGCAGTTGTAACGCGATCAATCCACGATGCCTAACGAGCCTGAATAATGCGACACATTATGAAACCTTATATTTGCGGGCATTAATACTCGAGAGGTAGTTTTCAGCTGGTGGCCGCCGGTACGTGCAAACCGACAATTAGTCGGTGCATACGTAGTCGCGGGCCACCTGTCAAGTGGTTCACGGTTTCGTCAAATCGTTTCTTTCGCGCGCCCGACCTGCACTTTTTTGTCGGAGGTTTGAAAAAGGAACGCTATCGTGGATGAGTCGGGTAGGTCGGGGCGCGCGAGCCTCATTTCAGTCAGGTGCCAGGCGCCGAACACGAAACACCGTGCCGCCACGCTTGCCGACCCCGTGCAGCCTTCGACACGTCTACCGCGCGCCGCGTAGCTTTTCGAGATTCACCTTCGGAAGCGCGACGGATACGATGAAAATACGTTACGCGATCGGAGTTGATTTTTAGGAAAATTTCACCCGAACAAAGTGATCCTCGACAGTGATTGAGTGAAATCTTTAGTGCTGAGATTTGCCAGTCAAGGTAAGAAAGACGCCTCTTGAAATGTTGTTTTAATGTTAGAAAAATAACAAGTTTTTTTTAAGTAAATAAAGATTTGTTACAATTAATCATGATATGATTTAGCATTTCAAGCCTCAGAGGCTAACAAATAATAATTACAGCAAAAAGCTAAATATTTGAAGCGCTTTAAATATTTTAATGTGGAGCATAAAAGTTGGTATTTATAATTTTGCTTTTGAAGGTTCTACCTGATTTCACATTGAATTAAAAAAAAACTCGAACTTATTCTAAAAAATTATTTCCCTCAATCGAATATAAAAATACTTATAACTGAAAGCTGTGAAATGTAATTTTATTTTAATACTATTATAAATTAGTTTTACTTGGTAAATACTGAAGCAAATTAAAATGTTTCCTTCGATATACTCGATTTCATTATGATTAAATAATTTGCTAAATGCAATGAACATTTATTATGAAATTCATGTAGCAGTTTTTAAGTTTTCAAAAAGTGAACGTAATATTGCACTTCCCTAAATTAGATGATCGTTACAAGAAACATTATGCGAATCATTTTAATTTGAAAACTTATCACTGAAAAGCTTGACTAAGATATTTATGTTTTAGAATTCAATAACTTTTTAATATTGCAACAAATTAAACAAATCTTTTGTGAATCAAAAAAATAATTTTCTTGAATATATTAAAGACGTATTCTTGACATTTTATTCTATAAATATATTTACTATCTTTTAATAAATAACGGAAACAGGTTTTCGCAGACTTTTTTAAATTAATCAAAGACTTTAGTATAGTTTCAATTGCACAGATCTTGATGATTTGTGCAAATTTTTCCAAAATTTGCGATTTGACTTTATCAACTAATGAAATTATTTTATTCAATTGAAGTTATTAAATCGTATTGCTAATGGCGGTAATGAGACCGCGCTGATTGATTTCCTCGAGTCGACACTTGCGCGGGTTCTCACAGAGGAAGGAAAAAATGGGCGGCGACGGTCGCTCGGACGGTAATTGCAGTCGACAACTAATAAAGACTTGCTTTATTGGAACAAGAAATTGCGACACTCAACCCTCGCATAAGTTGAGTCGTTACCCAATTAGCCGTAATAGTTGGGATTGATCACGTTCACCTGCTTCTTGTGTTGATGAATGAAACACGTCTCCGGTGTTAGTCACTGCATACATTGGCCTAAAACAGGAGATTGCTAGCAAGTAAAGAAATACCTTTAGCATCTCAAAAATAGAATACCAATTGAAATGCACCATAACTATATGAAGCGAAAATAGAACAACTAAAAGCCATTGGGACGTTGGCGTAGCCAGTACTCGCCCACAACCGTTTCCATCACGATAATTACGAAATTTAGCAAATCATTTGTAGATCTCAATCTCTTAACGATTTGGTAGAGCGTTATTAGAATCGCCCTGTTTGACACCGTTCACGTATTCATTCCGTAATACGTGACACGTTTTAGGCTAATGAAGATTGTTTTCGGTCGGGCACGGCGTGCATTATTAATGCGCGTACGCAGTAGGCGCTGCGGCCGCTTCCATTATTCTGATTCTTCATTTGCTTGATTGAGCTTTTAATGTGATTCGATGTCAACAAACAAGCTACCGGATTAATCAGGGCTAGAGCTGTCAACGGAAAGCCGTGCACTGTAATGGCCAGCGTCACGTCAAAAGCTTCTGTTTAATACAAATATTAGGGTGTCGTTAAGTTCATTCCACTAATTTATAACAGTGGTAGTCTAATTTAAACGGCCGCACGATCGGTTTGAAAACATATTTTCTGGAGAAATGACTTTGTTCTTTTTGTTTTTATTAAAACAGTGAAGTATTAATTATCGAAGAAGGTATTTGTTCCTAATCGTAAAAATGTGCAATATATTTTCAAAGCTTTCGGATTATTTTTCCAACTAGCTTCCAAAGTCGTGTTTAAATCGATGAAAATCACAGCAATTTTTAAAATCATATGTAATTATAACTTACCGATTCGATATCAATACCGAAAACTACAGAACAGTATTAATACCGATCGCCCAGTAAAGCTTTTTTTCTAAGAGGAAACATTTTCATAATTAATCTTCTACACCCATATCTAATCTTGAGTGCAGACTATTTTTTATGTGACAAATTGTCGAGAGAACCGGCGCTTCACCTGATGCTACATGATAACCGCTGCACAAGGACACACTACAACACATGAAGTGTTGCAGATGGGCTACCAATGTTTAAAAAAATGGACCGCGGCTACCCTACGAAACGCAAAAGTATGAAAATACTTCCACTTTACGCCGGTCGGCGGCGGCCGTGATACTAACCCGGGCCTGCTCATTCGTGCTACAGCAGAAACAGCTGCAGGGACCTAGACTAATTAAAAAACAAAAGAAATCAAAAAATTGCTTTTCTCCCCATAGGATGTCTCGGCACGTTCTCCTGTCGCGTCTGGCGGAGCAGTTCCAGTCATCTTCGCCGCCGCCAGTTCAGCGTTTCCCGTCGCCGAATCGTAGTCCCTCCCCCGCCTCGCCGGCATCGCCCCGCTCGCCACCGCCGACGCCCGACTCCATCTCCCACAGCCGCCTCGATCTACTGCAACTGGGAGACATCGAGATAGCCGGGAGGGCGCTGAAGCAGTACGCTCGCGCTACCGGTGAGTCAAAGGCTGGTTGCAACCTGATAATGCTACGGCATGCCGACTATACTTGCAAGGTGCTAATAATCCGATGGAAATTCGAAGCCTTCCTCTATGCTTACTCGATTGCACAGTCCTGAAGTGTAATCAGGAATATCATCTAGGAAATATGGAGAACATCCGGTTCACGTCATGAGCCTTTAAAGTTTTGGGGGTTAAAATTAGAAGGTATATTCTTTGTCATCCCTGTACAAAGTCAAAATCCAAAATTTCTTTATTCATTATAGGTTTCTTTTAAGCTCTTATTGAACGTCAAAACACTACCACCGGTTCACTCAATTAGAGAAGAACCGACAAGTAAATCTGCGGTCTTGCGGCCTTTTTTTGAAAATGATGTATACATTCTTGTCCTAAATGTATTCTTCTAAATTATAATAGGCCCTTTCCTGTTATCGATGTAATCCCTGTTCTTAACGAAATTATGTTAGGAGTCTTATTACATTATTGTCGTTTTTGGATTTATTTATTTATTTATTTAATAAGGTATATCCACAAAATTACATTTTTTAGAAATAGCATACAAGATGAACATAAACTCAAGGTCAAGAACAACATGCAATTTCAATTACAGACAGACACTGCATACTCAGAGTATAGGTGCTTAAACAGTATTATAAAACAATAAAAGAAAAACTGGAAAAAAAAACTAGGAAACAATATAACTAACATTACAATGCTACTTAAAATATAATAACAAAATTACAAAACTATTACATATTATAAAAGTGATGTGACATAGCTATGTACACAAATGACCGAATGTTAGACGTCTACGGCGCTAATTGGATTCAATACCCTGACAACTTTCGATTTAAATACTGATAATTTTATTAGTCTGCACAATCTGGGAATTATAGAATAATGACCCAAGTTAGATTTGTATGTTTTATGAGTGAGGATAGATTTTAGTTGGCGCGGCAAACGGGAAGGAACGTCAAAGGAAATTCGACTAAGTAACTCTGGGTTATCAAATAAATTGTTCAACAGTTTATACAAGAACAACATGTCTTGTATTGTCCGCCTGTCGGATAACTTCATAAGATTAAAATTCTGAAGTCGCTCAAGATAAGGCACTCGTTTTCCTGGCCCAATTAAATAGAAGAAAGTAAAGCGTCTCTGAATAGACTCGATACGGTCCTTATGAACCTGGTAATTTGGATTTCATACAACCGGACAATACTCGAGCTTGCTTCTGACCAATGTGGTGAATAAAAGTTTTCTTGTACTCGGGCTTTTAAAGTCTTTGGCGTTTCTGCACACAAACCCTGACATGCGCCTAGCAGATTTACAAATATTTAAAATATGGTGTTTAAAGCTTAATTTGGTATCAAACGTTACACCCAGATCACGCACCACTTCCTGTTAATTAAGCGCTATATTGGATGGTTCAAATATGTTTTAGCTTAGGCCGAGTTTTGCCAATAGAGTAGAATAACTTTACCATCGCAGCTTCTGCTATAACTGTGTCGCTTCAACTAAGATGTGAGAGAGAAAGATATACTTCTGACTTTTCTATGGTAATCGAGGTGACATGACTCACCGACTTATGTATATTTCTATACTTTTCTATTTCATCGGCTGACTAGTGTTTAACATCATTCCCCATTATGGTAATAGTTGATGTGGCCGTTGATGGTAAACGCAGTAGCCCCGTACCAGTATCATCACTTTTGGGCACTACTTTTTAACCCGACGGTAAGATGAACGTGCTGATGATGACGTACTTTGGTACTAACTGTATAACTTTAACTGTATTAGTTTTACTTTTTCATGTGTTAATTTTTATGTTTGAAATTATGTATACCTATGGTTTAGTTTTTCCGTAATTGTTACTTCGGGTAAGTGGGTATGCCTTGCAGAGACGGTTAATTATTACGGAAACGCCATAAAGTTTCGTAAATGTTTTGTGAATGTTCAGAACTTGGAGCGTTGATGTACTGCAGTGGATTGGGAGCGCTTTACGGTGGTGCCGGCGTTTGGCCTCTGCTGATACCGAGAGCTAATAATCCACAGTACACTCTCCCACCATTGGAACACATGAGGCATACCCCGCCAAGAGAAGGTAATAATATCAACAAATAATAAATAAAAAAGTACTGTATCGATGCTATCATAACGAACATGGTGAATTGTGTTATTTATGTTGTCAATTATGTTGTATAGTAAAACAGCGGGAGCTTTATATCAGCCTAAAAACCTTTCTCATCGTTACCTACATTTCAGTAAAATTATTCATAATAACAGGGGACATATTGTGGCGTAAGCATACACGTATATTAGAATGTATCTTATCACGCAAATCCATATTCAAATAATAAATGTACTCGTAGCAACCTCAATTTAATTAATCATCGAATGTAAAAAAGTAGATTGTTGAAAAAAACAAAACAATTCACTGTCATCGTTTTTTCAAAATTAAAACACTAAACATTTTTTTTTTTATTTCACCGTACCGCGAATTGAAAATCCTAATAAATTGCCGTCGGGTCATTATGAAACTCGTATTCACCTCGGCCTCCTTACGCGACTTCTTCTATACGGAGCTCATTAGAATAGCTATCGGTGGTGTTTGCCGATTAATAACTCGTACCGCTGATACGTCGCCGTTTACATGTCGTTTACCTCCACGAGCGGTGCGCGCTCGCGTGTTTCCTACGCGCCCAAGGAAAAGCAGTACGCGCTACAAGATGGGCCCTCATTGTCATTGTGTTCAAATTCTTTAAGTATTCAAATTGGCCGCTTATCCGCACTCGTACCGGTTCCGAACGGGCGCTGCTGATAAGGCGCCGAACGAACCTAGATTCAGTACCAACTTGATTTCTTTAAAGGAAATTTAAAAATGTATCGATTATAACAATACCTACGCGTATGTTTTTAAAATATAAATTTCATATTCAACGAGTTCATAACAAACTCGTTGAATATGAAGTTGCAATTTATGGTTCTTAAGTTATTTGACGTTTCACTATTGACTAAGTTTAACTAACAGCAAATCAACTTAATATATTCGATTAAAGTACTTAGAATTTATTCTAGGCAGAATACGTGCCATGATATACGTAACGCCAGAAGTGTTGGGCTATTAATAACATGCATATAATTGAAAACTCAAAAGAAAACCGTATCATCCTCGATATTTTAAAAGAACATATATTACCTCGTGTATTAACTAGGAATTTCGTTCTGGTACGTACACTGACGTAATCAGTCGATAAACATTTGCGCACCTGTACAGATTTCATAAGTCATTTCACAGACGTCCTATTCGACCCGGCCGACTTTAAAAATGGCGTCGCGTGAGGAACGTGAAGGTCAGAGCTAAAGTTGACGTTTCTTTTTAGACGACGAGGAGTTACCACTGAACCTGTCCATGAAGAACCGCCAGATTTGGTCGCCCGGCAGCGCCTGCGAGCGCGAGAAAGGGGACATCGGGGCCGAGACGCCTCATTTAAGATGGGAAGGGAGGGAAGCCGAGGACGCCCCGTTGGAGTTGGTGAAGAGATGTCAAAGCAGCCCCGATAAGAGTGAGCGAGCCGCGAGTGCCGAGAGACGCTGCCCCTCAGCCCCCGCCTACCAAACGTTCCCGCCACCCCAATCTGGCGACATGAACTTCACGTTGCTCCTAAAGAGCGAAAATAGAAACGAGAAATCCTTCCAGGTAACGTATATAAAATCTATTTTTATAAAGCAAATTTTTATAGAGCGTCGCCGTCTCAAATCGGCCAATAAACAGCGACATCCTTTAACAAGCTCGGGATAACTGTACAGTTTCCGTTCGTAATGGTTTTAAATAGCAAACCAGTATCTGTTTTAGTCTTTTTTCACAAATCAAATAGCAAAAACTGCCCTTGTCTTAATAAGTACTCTTGTATCGGAACAAGTCGCTCGTCCCTGCGCGCGGCTCACTGGCTGCTCGTCTTCGCGCCATTTTTATACTTTTTCTTTTTTTTTCCGCGGCATCATTATAAAAATCCGCATCGGTTTTTAATCAAAATTCCAACTTTTAATATCACGGCGAGGCGGTTTATAATTGGAGGAATAATTACCTTGTGTCATACGATGATAACAGTGCCACAGCGCCGTAAAATACATTTAACAAAATTGTAAGTTAATAATACCGACCTGGTTGCAGTGAATCCTTTTATTTGTTTCGTACCATTAGGTTTTTTTCTCAGTAACCAAGTAACCAAGCAAATAAATTTAGTACTAATTTTTACTTATTCAGCAGTTATATAAAATATGGAATAAACATAAAATAAATTGGTCGTTAATTAAGAACGAACCGCATTGTAGATAATAACACAACGATTAAATAAAAGCACAAGATCTCCGTGGTGTTAATTAAGGGTTATTTTCCACGATAGAGTATCATAAACGTAATTGTTAACATGCGCTAAAAACCGCGCTTCCGTAAGCTGGAAACGCGGCGGGCGGGTAAAGCGACGCGTGCTAGCCACGCGACCGCCGCCGACGCTCCGACTTAATTGCCCACGCCGGACGCCACACTTTAAGTAATTTATATTTGATAACTTGATAACTCACGTTACGAAATGAGTAACTGGTATTCAATCATTTAGGTTAGAATTCACATCAACTTATTCAAAATTCATGGCGTCGTTTACCTTCCCATCTTTGCCTTACTTATTTATTGGACAATGGACACTTTATCAATTTAAATACCTAACAGCACCGTGCAATTCTTTGTAAACTTAGTTTACTTATTTAATTTAATGAGGGAGATAAAAATAATGGTAGATAACAAGTTTACAGGTTTAACGAGAAAAAACATGGAGAAATTTTCATCATTATTAGTCTATTCAATTTGCTTAAGATAAAAAAACCAGTATAAAACAAATAATCATGACTCAGTAAAGTTATCTTTCCAATTTGAGGTCAATCACCTCATAATCTATTGTAATAGTGAATACGAAGTCTTGAAATTAAATTTTAAATTGAAAGACTTCCAATAAAACGAAAGTTTTTGAACTGCAACTTAAGTTTTAATTCAACGGACTCCCATAAAAAAATCACCGTCTATGCGAGGTAAAGCCGATAACCATATGTGGATGGTCATACCCCAGCACCTGTGTTGTTTATAAGAGAGTCCATCGACGCTATAAAAAGACCAAAAAACTGGCAGTTTTTGTAAGGCGCGAGGCGAGGCAGCTGCCCCGCCAACTGTCACAGCGGCCCGCTATGCGGATTTGTGCCATAGATTATCATTCGCCGCATATATTATAATCGCTAAACATCCAACTAACGACCTCACAACTTTCTTTTACGATGCACCAAAGAAAGTGACAAATCTGTAAACAAAATATGCTCTATATAGGGTCTCAAGTGAGAAGTTTTTCCCATAATATGGGGATAAAATATTGCTTGAAAATTATAGAAAAAAATTTTCTACATATTTGAATGAAAAAACCCTTCATTTGATTTATAATAAATAAGTACATCAAACATCTTTTTAAATTAAATACGCTGGATAAAATACGAAAAATTATTTACGCTGGAAAAACTATGCAACTAGCAAATCAATTACGGTGTCAAACCAAAACAATTAGTTAATTGACAGTCGGAGAGTATTTCCCTGAATTAGAAGCAACGTTTATGTTATGAAGATACGTTGCCGCCTTTTAATAGAGTGGTTCGGTTACGCCGGTCTTCTGTAAGGTCGTGACTGACGGACTTGCCCATTAGTGCAACAGCGAAGACTGTAAGATTCCCCGATACCCGTACCTGCACATGTCCTACTCCTAGGGCCGTGTAGACGATCCCTGGTGGTGGTGGTGGAAGACTGCAAAAATTAAAATTAAAAAACCCTTACTCATATTGATTTCTTAATTTTACGCGAATATTATACATAGTTAAATCTATTTTAAGGATTTTATGGCGTTTTAATTATATTTTAAAATTCCCGATGTTCGAACCCTTTCCTGCGTTAATGGTCACGGGACAAACAATTAAAAATATAATTAAATAAAATCCGTAAACTAGTTTCATTTAACAATCTCCCTATTCCTTTAACTGTGAAATTTACTGTAAGTTTCAATGAAGAAAGAATGAACGAGAATATAGGATAACTTGTTGAGGTTCCTCACATTCAGTGAATATTATCTTTTTATTAGCTACTTCTAATCACTAAAATTTGGCCTATCTAGTCCCACGTCAAAGAAAATAAAATTAAACCATGTTAATTCGTCAGTCCCTCGTTCATTACAAAACACTTTTAACTTAAAATCCTTCTTTATACTAACAACGCATAAACAATGATTTCAAATTACATTTCTTAAGCAAACTGTACAACGCAAACTCAAACGACGCAATATTCGTGTATCTAAAACATCTGAGTAAATAAATCTAAAACTGGAAACTTTTGTCTTATAAGTTCGTGTACTTGTGAATGGAATATTAAAGCAAAGAGAAGAATATGTTTATCCACTTCAGAGCTACTCCGCTTGCATAACGTATTTTTAGACATTGGTTTACATTCTTTACTTTTACATAAAGTCTTTACATATTGTGACCGTCCAAAGGTGGCCTGGTAGAAATTACTTTAAGTAATAAGGCCTCGCATTGTACAACTCATACGTAATTTTTGTTTTTTATGTATTGTTTTTACCATGGTGTATGCAATAAAGAATATTCATTCTCGGATTTATTTATGAATGAATGAATTCATAAAAAATCAGTAAGAAAATCTAACAATATGATAAAAATTGTTCGAATTCTGAGAAACAATGCTATTCAACAATGAAATATTATAATTTTTAAAATATGTAATATTTCACAGGTTTGCTCAACACCTAACGTAAAAAATAAATTACACACAATTATAATTAATTTTAAATTTTGCTTACGAGACTTACGTTCCGTTATTGAAAACTGCCGCATTTTGACAAAAATGTCTAATAGTGTAAAAAATAGTAGCACTGAAAGATTTTTTTTATATTTTTAATTTCTATTAAAGTAATAACTTTTATAACTATGTATTGAATGGTTAGCGTTTGCGTAGACTATGACAAATCGATAATTGTATTGATCTCTTATTGATTCGAGACAACAAAACGACAACCGGTTGATGTTCTAATTAGTAGGCAGGGAAAAAAGTACTTTAGTTAGTTTCCTATGAAAAATCAAAGAAACGTGTAGAAAGGGGTTCGATGGCCTGTTATTAGTATATTACTGATTGCCGGTTGAGGTGATGGACGTTGACAACTATCAGGGCCGTGTAATTACATTATTGTCGTAAAATTAGCAGTTTGCTTATTAAATAACTGTAAAAAAAACCTGAACTAGTTGCTGGAATCCTGGACTGCCGATCTCTTTTTTTTCTCACTCAAAACGTCAGCAAAAACTTCGATTGGACTTACTATTACAAGCTAAAGTAGATTATTTACTTAATACTTTACATAATGTGCGAAACGTTTTGTCTGTGTAGTGCAAGCAATGCGGGAAATGCTTCAAACGCTCCAGCACACTGTCCACTCACCTGCTCATCCACTCGGACACCAGACCCTATCCCTGTCAATATTGCGGTAAACGATTCCACCAGAAGTCAGACATGAAGAAGCACACATATATCCATACAGGTGAGTACACCAGTTTTATATTAACGCACTTTTAAAACTATTTTGATAGCAAACAAAGTAACATGTTTCATTACGAAAATTATCTGTTATTTGAAATGCGGTAATGTAACGTTATCGTCGAATGGAAAGAACGGTTGCAGTGAATTGGCTGGTTCAAATTGTCATGGGTCTACTAGACGTTGAATAGTTTTATATAACAAAAACGGTAACTTTATTTTTGGATTTACGTCAACGCTGAATAAAATAAAATCGATGTAATTATATAACGTGTGTAGAAATTTTTTAGAAATGGAGATAAAAAATAAAAGAGAGTCCTTAACTTTATTCATTAATTTTGGGATCGTTGGTTAGTAATGAGCTAACTGAAATTTATTTTTAATATTTAAATTGGTGTTCTTCGCATATTGATATCTTCGTATTAAATATATTTATTTAAAACGAAATATCTACTACTATCTTTGTGTATCAATTCGTATTAAATACATATATGTTAAAATATAGCTTTATCAATGACTAGATTTTTAGAGTCATTATTTATGAAAACTTAACCAGCGTCCCCAAAAAAAGTTACAACAGAAAATAACAGGTGTACGTTATTACGTGTCATAACGTTGTAATTGGAGTTTAACACTTATGGAAGTAAATACGTCTGTAATTTAAATGGAACATGTTAAAATATCTTTGTAATAGGTTGTAAGGAAGAAGGTCTTTGGGGAATTTTGGTGATGAATGTTCAGAGTAATAAACAGAGGGAGTCAAAAGTGTTTTGACAATTATTAATTTGTTTATGGCGGGAACGTGTTTTGCTACGTACGATTTAAACAGTGAAAATGGGCCTTTAAATCATAGGATGTTTCATATTAAAATAATGTGCAATTGCATTTTCGCCAGAGTATCGTGGCGAGTAGCGCGGTAATGAATTCTCAATGAACAAAAAACATGAATCGCCAAGAGCCTACCGGACCACAGCCTCTGTTATCATCTTGTCTGAGGTCGCGATTAATATGACCTTTATCCGCTGATTTACCATCATACATAGCAGTTCATATTCAATTCAATGTTTGAATACATTTTTACACTTTCCGTTACTGGTTAAACAAGAGTAATAATAAATGACAAAAATAATATAAATTAAATTAAACTACTATGAAAACAAATTGAAATAAAAGTTTAAATATTACAATAAAAAGCATCTGTCACCCTATAATATAATTTCATCATAAAAGTTCGATATATATCAAGGCATGAAATACGGAGAAGTAATAAGAGTTCTTGTATCGTCCTTTGCTGCGCGACAATATTATTTTGTTTGTCGCCAAGACGAATTGAGCTCCAAAAAAAATGTCGCGGACATATTGGCCGCGGTCTGCGACATCTCGTCACGTCTCCGCGCGGCTTCGAATTATTTACAGTGGCCGTACATGGCTCTCGTCCTCCGATAAATACCTCATCATCAATATTCCAAAATGCGGTTCGGCTTGCAATTAGCCGCGCAGCCTTCACAGACCTTCACATGGTGCGACGATCACTGCACAAACAAAAAGTTCAGTTAAATCCTGTTCTATCAATAAAATTGCCTCGGTGTCTCATTTTTATTATTTATAAGCGTCCCACTTCAGGTATTTGTCAAAAGAAGTATAATAATAATAAGATCCGAAAATGTTGTGAGCAATAGCACCTTTATAAAAGCTTCGATGCGTACGTACGTATATCCACGTGCCTTGGCTGGCCAAATTTTTACCTCTACGTCTTAAAAGTCCTATACAACGCGTATTAATCGATCTCCCAAAAGGACAGTCTACGCTGTTAACATTTTAGGCTCACCTAGGTTCGTGTTTTTATAATCGCTACTGTCAGTAATTTATATTTCTCTAAAAATTTATATGTACTTTTTAAATGTATTTATATGTATGTGTTTCAGAGAATATTTATGCATATTTGTACATATTAGTGCAAGTTTATATATGAATGTAATTATATATTCTGTTATTTTTTATTAATTCTGTTATTATATTTTTAAGTTAATTTATTTATTGCACCAGCCTCATGATTGCACTACACCATATGTTGACTGGTAGAGAATGCTTAAAGGCATTAAGTCCGCCTTTCGTATTCTAGAATTTAGAAAAACTCAAAATAAATCTTACTAAGCTCTGTGCATAGACAGCTATGGAAAGCGATTGGACCGATTGCGGCGTGCAACAGCGTTGTAACAGAAACGAGCGTCCATTTGTTGCAGGCGAGAAGCCGCACAAGTGCGTCGTGTGCTCGAAGGCGTTCAGCCAGAGCTCGAACCTCATCACGCACATGCGCAAACACACCGGCTACAAGCCCTTCTCATGCGGCCTCTGCGATAAGGCGTTCCAGCGCAAGGTGGACCTGCGCCGCCATAGGGACTCGCAGCACGCAGAGACCGCAGAAAGCCCCGCTACCCCTTCCCGCTACAGATACTACGGCGACGACTCAAACGCACCGCTCACGCCGGTCGCCACGAACTGAATGGTTTTGTTATTCGTTAAATTTGATTTTATTGGATGGAGTTTCCAGTAGGTTTCGTAAATGTTTTAACTTACTTTGGATGCATCACGCTAGCGCCATAACTTTTTTTTTTACAATTATGCTTCATAACTTTTAATTAATTTGAACTGTTTAAACTGTTATCCTATACACACTAAAATTATTTAACGATACTGTTGTTATAAGTTACAAAAACGAAAAAATTAATAACGGTACAGAAATCATAAATTACCCTTAGTATTTTGATCACGAGTAAAATAAAGTTTCAGTAAATCACAGAATATTTGATGGTAAGCAAAATGAAATAAGTGCCTTAATTATTGTCTTTACCATATCAAATCTCTTACAGTTCATCAATTAAGAATATAGCCTTTTAAATACATAGGTTTTAGAAATCAATCCGTCCTAGTTTGTGATATATACAAGTCGTTTTGTGTGATTTGACCGACGATTTGAATTGTTAAATTTATATCTTAGGTATTCCTTTAAATAAAAACCTAAAATATAATAAATATTTTATGCAATTTTTGTATTGATTACAATATCACAATAAATTAAATTTTAACTTTAGAAATTCGATACTAACTTTGTGAATGGTTGATGATTGTACAAAGTACCATATAAACCGAATTGTTTATTTATTACTTAAAAGCACATTTTATCACGCAGTAACATTTAAGTATTTTTAAGTATCTATTTTCTTCAATATTTTAATATTAACAGTAAATGCATTTGTTTGAGTAGGTCCCATAATATAAGTATTTTGCTTTGAAGGATACTTTTTTCCCGTAGGTAGTTAAAAAAGCGCTGTGTTAGACAAACAATTGAATTTCAAAATATTTTGCACGTTTAGTTTTTAATATATAGTAAAACACTTTGAATCAGGTACACATTAAGAAAAATTCAAGCTATTGCTATTAATAATATATAAGGATCGACGTATAAGTAAATAGTCTAATACAAACCAAAGTAAAGTGTGTTTTAGTCGAAAGTGAAACGCTTTATTTATTAAATCTAGTTGCTGCAACAATCATTATTTAACATGGTCAGTAACGAGTCATTTGTATTATATTTAATTGTATTAGATTTTTAAGCAAATTTTACAATTACGATTATATAGCGCGTTACCTTAAATGTGGTGATATGACAACTTATATTGAGTATGTTTATATTTTCACACATGCAAATAATTATCAGGTTTGAAAGTTTTTTACCATTTGAAGATAACTAATATCTTTGTTACCAATCTTAAGGATTTGTTACCACAAGTTTTGTTAAAGGAACAAATGATTTGTCAATTTTACCTTATAATGACAACGTTACCTACAATTTCTCTTTTTCGTATATTTTTGCCCATTTGTGTAACAACCTTTTAGTATAGCTAAAATGGTACTAGACCACTGCACTCAGCGATGTCAGTTGTCACTAAAATAGCGCAGTTCAATTACTAAAGGCTTATTAACACTGACTTAAGACATAAAAGGTTTAATGTCCATTAAACGCTAATTGACGTTTATGAAAAACTGTAAATGTTTTGTAAAACTGTAGCATTCACGTCCCTTATGTAAATACAAAGGTACTGTAAACAAGTGAAGTAGGAGTAAGCTCTTAATGTAAAAGACTGCATGCCACCATACTACGTGGGGTTCGCATTACCTATATTTGTGTAAATTGTTTTCCTAGTGTTATTTCTAAAAAAAAATTGTAAGAAGATTTCATTGCCGTGTTTCCTAACATTTAAATGATAGATATTCTCAAATAAATATCATGGTGTCAAGTTTGAAACTACACGTGCAATGTAGATAACGGCTAGAACACCAAAGACAACCAACAGTACGATTATTATTTATGTGTATGTTTACCGATTGTGACTAATGTACTGTTACTGTGTTTTAGGTTGTACCTACTTTACGTTTTGCTCACTCGTTAAGACCAATTTAAAAGCAAGTGGTGCGCGGTTAAACCGATGTCATGCAGCCCTCGATGGCTAATAATAATGTGAATATAGGTACACGTTTTTTGCTAGTTTGGCGATACAAAGTTTCGTCGAGCATTTTTATCCTGTAATTGATATTATTTGTAATTTATTTAGGCCAGTTTAATATAAATATTTATGACTGAAGTTTTTCTTTTATTTCCTACCAGTCTGCCCAACAGTGCCGAGTAAAAGGCAAAATATTACGCTGCCTTTTTTTTTTCGTGCAGAAAGTTATATAAGCGTTTTTCTATATAAAATACATAAAATATTGCAGAAACAATAAGTGATTTAAAAAAAATTATATCAAACGGTACAAAGCCCTGAAATTAATAATTTAAGTTTACCAAAAGCAAAAACGCATGAATATCAATTAGCATCTAACCAGTAGGGAAGGTCGGGACCCTTCGTTCGGTTTTTACATTTTATTTATTTTCATTTCAACTATTCCATGAAATAGTGAACTTAATACATAGAGTGCTAGTATGTTTGTCTGAAATTAATTTAAAAAAATCTGTGGATGATATCTTATGTTTATTGCAAAATTATATATTAAATTCTGAAGTCAATCGTACGAATCTGCCCCACGTGTGGGGTAGTTTCATACATTGAGATTAACACTGCAAATAGAATATTTTTTATTTATGTGGACAGAACATAATATTCACAAAATGAACATAAATAATTGACTTCTCTTCTTGTCAACAAAAATTATATGTAAATTATCTTCAAGTTAACAAATTATTGAAATAATTTTCTTACATTATATTTTTATAGGTTTATAATTTAGCAACATTTTCCTGTAAAGAAGAATATTTAATACATATTATAATAAAATATACACGAACAATCTGCATAGGACACCTTCATATGCGTACGAATGTAGGTACCCCGTGGGATTCTGTACGAAAGTGTCCCGAACAATAATTAAATATAAAGCTATAGCCGCTAGCTTGTCGTTTGTATTTTTTTTAAGTAATGTACGTATGTGCCCCGCGTACGAATGGTACCTACCTTCCCCTACCTAATAGAATTGATAAAATGATCAATATCACTTGTCTTCGACAAAATAATTCATAATAGTTTTGCGGTTTGATCAGTAACATAATTGACTAACATCTTTTTTCACTGACCAAATAACAATATACCTACTGTACCTGCCTGGAGGACCGAGCTTTGCTCGGTTTGTTTTATAAGAAAAATGAACTGGTGTTTTTCACAAAAGAAAGAACTTGAAAAAAAAAAGTGAAAAAAATAACAAAATCATCTGGATCGACAAAAAATAAAAAATAAAGAAAGCAATGATCTGGAATCAAATCAAAATCGGAAAAAAAAGAAAAAAAATAAGAGTGTAAATGATCGTGACACGAACCACGGCCTAGCTACCGACCGAGCTATTACAACATTTTTTTCGGTGAAATTTACCGTCGTATTCGAATGATATTTTAATTCCCTGAAAACTGGGATAAAACGACATTTTCTAAAAATGAAACCTAGCCAGATCGATTTTTCGCCCCTCCATCTACGCACATACTAAATTTCATGAAAATCGCCGGAGCCGTTTCCGAGATTCCGATTATACAGAGGAGGGGGTGATAATATGGAACCCCGTTTTGTTTTTTGAGTATTTTAAGAAAACTATTTGGCTAATCATCACAAAACTATGTCTTTATTTTAAAAATTTATTAACTTTTATATTACAAACGAATTTATAAAATAAAATCAAATATAGGAAAAAAATTGCTTTCTTGAAAAAAAAAAATGTGTTCAAAGATCTGGTGCTGGTATTATGGAACCCGGGTTCCAAATTGCACGTATGAAATAAATTTACATACAAAAATCACAAATATAAAACTCCGCGTCACATCCTGAGCATTCAATATGTACAGTCAACCTATATGATTGGCACTGAATCCAAGTTTCATCCTGATGATGGTCGTAGTAATTTTCAGAGCAAAAAATGCAACAAGCGTCATCTTGATTTGTGGGCTGGGCATGCCTGGTAACATTTTCTGACATTCTGTCTGTTCTGTCATCTGAAGAAACAGCAGATTACGAAGAGGTCGAATCCTCGCTGTTTAGAGGAGTCCTAGAAGACTTTGCAACACTCTACCGACCACTACGCCCACGAGCACCTCCCCGAACTCTTCCCTGACCGACTTCCTCCTTCTTCTTCCCGACTTCTTCCTATCTGCGCTATAGACTTGATTGACTCAAGTTGCTGTTTGTAAGGAGACCCGGTCAATAAAGTAATGCGGGTAATTTGGAACCCGGTTCCATATTACCTGCACCTATCGGGTTCGAAAATTAAAACCTTGTTACCAAATAACCAAGAAAACAAAAACTAGTTCAAATAAATCTTAAAACTTACCCATGACAATGTAAACTTAAGGGTATATAGTTCGTATAACACCTACTGTATTTACATTTAGACAAAAACAAAGATTTTGATTAGGAAATAAAAGTAAAAAAAATTGCAGGTGACACAAAATTTCAACTTCTTATGGTACGGTCCAAACTCGATGCAAAAATGACGCCAGTGGAGCTAATACGTTGAATGACATCAGTTTGACGTAATTTCATAGGTTTTCAACAGATTTCGTTGTCTGTTCCTGGGATATTAAGGGGTACCAAATTATCAGCAGGTTCCAAATTACCACCTCTTCCCTGTATATATATATATATATATATATATGTATCTTATACCTTTATATATATAAAGGTATACTGAGAGTGAATTTTGACTTAGCACCTGTAGAAGAGCCGTGTATGAGCCGTGATAGCTCAGTGTCCGGGCGCTCGCCTTTATTTCGATATACTCGAGCAACCTGAGTTCGATCCTCGGTGCCGGCACCAATGAAGTTTTTAACTTTAAGTGCTGACTTATCACGTGCTCCGCGGTGAAGGAAAACATCGTGAGGAAACCTGCATATTTTCGAAATAATAACAAAAAAAATATATTTCGAAAATTATATGAAGTCCGCCAATCCGCAGTGGGGCCGCG